CACATTTGTGATCAAACACAAACTCACATCAGCTGTGAAAAAGTATTGTTTTCTAAAGAACAATTCTGGAAAACTAACTGGGTCTGAATAATGGAAGTAGTATTGATAATGGAATTTATAATTACAGAACTCTGTGATATCAGTGCTAGTAAGTGAAGCAACTAGTTGATTACAAACCGATAACAGGCATAATTTACTACTGTATTGCAGCCTAGGGTTTATAGATTATAGTCAATTGGCATTGATTATACATCTGAAGATAATTGTTCTGAAACAGCCTTTAGCCAAATTCCTTGAAATCTTCTATTTTTAGGTATGTGGCCTCTAAAATATTTTTAGAATATTTTCATATTCTATGCAATCATTTTCAACAAATCATCAGGGTAGTTATAAAGTGCAATGAGGCAGAGAGGGTGATAAAAACGGAGAGGAAAGCTTTGAAGAAATTCAGCATTTTTGCAGAAGAGGCAACATGAAAGTCATCTTCATTGATTTGAAGAGTTGCCATATAGATAGTGGGGAAGTGGGGAAGAGAGGGAATCTATCATTTGGAAAACATAGGGAAGCTTTCTAATAATGCAAACATATCAAACAATTTAAAAAAAGATTTATTGTTTACCTGATGGGTTATTCTACTAATAGATTTCCTGCATTAGGAGTTTAGATGAGTGAGATTATTTCTGAAATATTTTCCAATGGTGTTTAGATTCTCATGTTCCACTAAGCCATGGTTAGACTGACATGGTTTCGGCAGAGCATATTTGCGGAAATCAGCCATTACAGTTTGCAAAGGGTGATTTTAGCAATGTGATGTGTCATTGTGGCTTGCATAACAAGCCATGATTAGAAAATAAAATGGATTGATGAAAAGGGTAAACTCAGGCTATGATTATATTCTCAAGTTAGAAAAAGCATTGCCAATTAGGGGTTGCAAATTTATAGGAGAGGGTGGGAATATATATGAGGAAGGGATAATACAAAGTTTTCTCATTCTTTGGTATTAATTAGCATCATGATATTGTTATAGAAGGATTTGCTTTGATATTGGCAAACTATTTTTTTTCAGGAATTCAGTATCTCTGAAATAGCTTTCTGATCCCAATTTGAAGGTGCTTGTGCAAACTGTTTTTTTAAACCTGATATTGGATATTGGGATTATGTGGTGGAATGGGATAATTCATAAAGAAATTGTACATAGAGTGAAAAAGCTACATTATATCTATGAAATTGCTTCCTTTCTATTATAGTAGTTTTATTTATGCCTTATTTCAGTGAATCTTAGGCTTAGTGTAAAGAAGGTGAAATAATATTGCATAAGGATATTCAGTTTCTGGTATTGCTGCTTATATAAGTTTTCCATACCAGCCTTTTTGAATAGCCAATGTTTTATTTTTTATTTTTTTCAGCTACCTGAATTACAATGTTCAGAGACCAATTTTTAAGTTCAGTTGGAATTGGTTATATAATCCTGCATTTGTTTCCTTTTGACAAGGCTACAATTTACTTTAATCTTTTAAATGAATATGGCTGCTTTAAATAAAACCCAGCGTCAAAAATAAAGCTGGCATGAATAAGCCAAACAAATCAAGTTTGTTTTCACTTAAAAAATCTTTAGAATTTTTAATTAATTCAGATGTAATTAGAATACTTTCAACTTAAATACATCCTCTTATGTTCAATTTGCTTGTCCGGCTGTGTTGGTTGCCTTATTATCTGTTGGACTAATATATAATCTGTTATGTAGTACAATTATTACAGTAAAGTATTTCAGACAAGCCTATGCATCCTAAAACTTTGAATATCCAGCTGAGTCTCATTTGACTTACAGCTTCTACTACGAATGTTTTTTTCTGCTAATTTTTTGCAGGGGGGGTAGGAGGATTGGATTATTCAGAGTTATCCAGTTTGGGCTGCACGTTGAATCTCTCCTAGGGCAAAGCCATATCTGACAGCCATGCAAAAACAGAACAATTCTTTTGGAAGTTTTTTTTTCTTTTATACCTCCAAGTTTACATTTTGAATCGGTAGAAAGACAGTGCTTCCATTTTTGAAATGTTTTAGCTCTGGAAAATACTGGTTTGATTCTTTTGTGAAATGATAATGAATGTCTTGATCATGAATTGTTGCCAAGCAGTGACAGTTTGCTTAGCTCAATACTGCCTTCTGCCTGAGCATCTCCATCCAAAACTTTTGCTAATTGATATTATAACACTCAGTGGTTGTTCATTCAAAACACTATGTTTAGGATCAAAAAAGCTAATGTTATTAAAAACAGTTTTACACTTTTTAATACAAGAACTTCACCCAGAACTATGTTGGGCATTTCTTGTGTAGTTAAAGATGATGTTATTTTTTTCTTATTATATATAAATTTAAAAAACTAACAACATGGAGTTTTGTTGATAAAGTAACTTCTTCTTCTTCTTCAAAGACGTTACCTTTTGAGATGCTGCCAGCCATTGTCATAAGGGGGAATAGATTATCAGAGTTAAATAATTTATCTGACTATGGGGAATTACAGTGGAAATATACGGTAATAGAGAGATTTAATTTACATGACTGAATTGCATAGAAAAAACCCAAAGCATTTGTTGATTAGTGTAATTTGCTAGAACTACTAATAAACCTACTGCATGGATTGTCAATATTTTGCGGCTTAACTTTTGTTGGCTGTTCTTGGAATGGCTGTACCTTGAATGTTGGATCAGGATTATGTTGCAAATCCCTAGCCTCTGGTTTTGTCAGAAATGTTGGATTGCAGACTTTTCTCAGGGTGCATAGGCATTCTGAAAATTGTATTTCAACATATTTGGAGGGAGCTGATTTCCAAAGGGCTGCTCATATCCATGCAAAATGCTGTCTTTTAGCCTCAGCATCAGAGGTGGTATTCAGCAGTTCTGGCCAGTTCTGGAGAACTGGTAGCGGAAATTTTGAGTAGTTCAGAGAACTGGTAAATACCACCTCTGATTGTCCCAACCCCTATCTATTCTCTGCCTCTTGAGTCCCAGCTGATCCGGAAGAAATGGGGATTTTGCAGTAACCTCCCCCTGCCACGCCCATCAAGCCATGCCACGCCCACCAAACCACACCCACAGAACCGGTAGTAAAAACTTTTGAATCCTACCACTGTGCAGCATGCTCTTCTCTCAGTAGAAAGATGGGACACTGTGACATGCTGCTTAGTTTGTTCTGTTTGTTTCAAATATTTATATCACTTTTATGCCACAGGTGGCTCCTTGAAACAAAGCAGAACTAATAGACAATCTTTCATTATGTGTAACATTGACAGAAATATTCTGCATGCAAAGTTCTTCTGACTCTTTTTAAAATTGTGTTGTCTTCTGATACCTACTGTGTGGTGAAGATTTTTCTACTTAAATGTGCACATTGCTAGAGAAAGGAGTTAAAATGCATGTTGTGTCAGATTTGCATGTTTTCAAAGTGGTTTTTTAAGCTTTTCTTGACTACCATAATGCACAATTGGAGGCTTATATGAATATAGTAGAAAAAGAGATCCGAAGAATCATTCAAAGGACCAATATTAAAATTGAAATTAATTCTGCCCTTAAAAAAACTAAAAACCAATTCTACATTTAATATGGAATTGGATACAAACTTAAACATAATTCAAATGGTCGAAAAGAAACAACAAAAACATGATTGTTACAGTGGTGGGTTTAAAAATTTTTTAGAACCTCTTCTGTAGGTGTGGCCTGCTTTGTGGGAGTGGCTTGCTGGCCATGTGACCAGGTGGGAGTGGTCTCTCTTATACTGATGTTGGCCAACTTGTAAAATGTGGTGAAACTCACTTAACAACGCTCTTGCTTAGCAACCAAAATGTTAGCTCAGAAACTCTGGCATTTGAAGCACGCAAGTCTTAAAGCTGTCAAGTTACAAGACCCTTGCACCCCATAACCTTTAGGGGAAAAAACTCCAGGGGTGTTCAAACTTGACAGCTTTAAGACTTGTGGACTTCAACTCCCAGAATTCCTCCTCCAGTTCTCTTCATCTTGATGATT